TTAACTTCACAATAAAGTCTATCGTTTCTTATATGAATTTTACCATACATATTTTCTATATTCCATTACATTCCCTGTCTTCGAGTAGTTATCATATCATAAACAAATTGAACTTTAGAGATTCTATCGTTTTCTATCGGGACAATACTACGTTGGTTTCTATACCGGTTGCCGGAACGATTACTTATAACATTCTACTGCAGAGCCTTGGTAGTTATGAAAATGAATCTCAACTTCACAATAAAGTCTATCGTTTCTTATATGAATTTCACCATACAAATTTTCTATATTCCATTTCGTTCTCTGCTTTCGCGTAGCTATCATATCATAAACAAATCAATCTATAAAGGTTCTATGGTTCTCTATCGGGATAATACTATGCTGGTTTCTGTACCAGCTCGTGGAACGACTATTTATAACATTCTATGAGAGAACTGTTAAGCCTTTGTAGTTATGTAAATGAATCTCAACTTTACAATAAAGTCTATCGTTTCTTATATGAGTTTTACCATACACATTATCTATACTATATTTCCTTCTTTGCTTTCGCGTAGTTATCATAAAGAAATCGGTCTATAAAGATTCTATTGTTTTCTAGTAGAAAAATATATTCTTCAACGAGAGGTGGACCCGTGGTTTGTTAGGTCGTCTGATCATAAATGGTTAGACGAAAAAAACCAAGTTAGACGAAAACTCCGTTTTCCGCAATTTCACCTTCTCCACCGCCGTGGGCCCGAGTGTCCTATACAGTGCTGAGTAGCGCGCCACGTTTTTCGCACTTTACCCGCCTATGCGTGGACCCTGGTTCAATTTTCGTTGAAGAGAGTGTACGCCGATTTCGATACCGGTTCTTGGAAGGATTATTTATGATATTTGATGAGTACTATTGAACTTTGACGCCTACGTAGTTATATTTGTTCAGTCAGAGTTGGGTAAGATACTTTTAAAATTTATCATGATACAGATATAGATACATATGAAAAAATGTACCTAAATACAGATACACAAATCAAAATACATATACATATATAGATACAGATACTCAGATACTTTAAGAGTATCTCAGATGCGTATCAGATACTTTTAAATTATTCAAATAAAAAATTCTTGAAAAGACAAACATGCGGTCGTTTCTCTTTCAAAGAGATTAGCTCAATATAAATCATTAATTATTTACAGTACAATTGCTTGGAATCAGATCCGTTAATCCGCAGTTCTTCCTATCGGCTTGTAAAATTTGATTCAATATGTGTATGGTATTTTCTTTCTATAATTCACAGCACTTGTTATTCTCTACGGTTTTCTTCAAAGGATACCTACCGTTGGGAAGAAAGTTTATATCACAAAATAAGTGTGTGTGTGTGTCTGTGTGTGAATGAGTACACAAAAATATACATATATAAATTCACTAGAAATCTTTATTGGATTTCAATAACATTTGGAGGAATACATACATATGCGTTATCGATGACGTCTACGTAAACTATTTTACATTTTACGCTGTTTAAAGGTACAATCTTCTTTTGTTGTGGATTTCTATTCCGCACACGCATAATATGACTTAAATTAAAGATCGGATCTACTTCATATTCGTTGACTACTAGATAACATTTATCTTTGAAATATATAAAATACAATATTTCAACTATAGCAGACGATTCTAGTTGAATTACAGTATCGTTACTTTTTTTTGGCCGTTCATACGAGGTGCTGTGGAAAATTGTATCTTTATATATACATCTGTTATATATTCGAACGGTATCTCGATCTGTTTCAAAACCAAGTGCTTGTTTAACCAGGTTTTTAATGTTTTCAAAACCTCCTAATTCTCCTATTAGAACAGCATCGCATACAGTGATTGCATTTTGCATTAGTAATTTTCGAGGGTTAAACAAGCCTTGGCAATAAATTGTGCATGGGTCGGTCTTGTTATTATTTATTATCATATTTTTCAATTTACTTTTTTGCAATGTTTTAGTTGCAATTTGATGAAGGACTCCATTGGGGCCACTGACATTTTGTTTTAGATGAAAAATTCCATTTTCATATGGAAATGCCGAGGTTGCCCACAATGGACCACTCATACGAACGCTGTGAACTGCATGCAATAAAGAGTGTAAATTAAATGTCATGGCGCTTTTACCATACAAAATCTCAGTTTCACCAACAAATTGTATCATATCAATTTCACATAGTTTCAAATCTTCTTCTGAAATATTTTGCGACAGTAGAACATTAAGACTTCGTACTAGACGTGTAAACGAAACTAACGCTTCATCATTTAAAATTCCTATAAGACATGGCACACTATAAAATAAGATCCATGATCGCCATTCACTTGCTTTCGGTTTGCCTTCACTAAAAGACCTTGGCAATCTATGTATTTCTTGTGAAGGCTTTATATTCAATAATCTTTTATCGATATTTTGTCTTTGTTTTCGCGACAAATAAAACGGAGAACTAGGAGAGTTCCACTCAACCCACATTTGGCGAACAACTCCTAACAATATGCCGTGCATGTAGTCCACAGGAAATCCCCACACACAATCGAAATGTTCTAATGTGGTCAAAATAGAAGCACCTTTAACGCCATTAACTGCTCTTTGCATATGATTAACTTCGTTTACGTCTTTTAAATAATTTTCATGGCTTCGCAGTAACTCATTTTCTGTAAAAGGATATCGCACAGAACCATGTAAGTATTCACCTTTATCGTAGCACCAGCTACATCCATAGTAGCCATTGAACTGAATTCGATTTTGGATTATAGGACGAGCAACCGAGTCGACCGATGCACACAATGGCCGTAAAACGAATTTAATATTTTCATTGTTACTATGAACGATGGTGACACCATCGTTCATTAATTTTTCCATTTGTTGAATAGAAAACTTGAGATATAAATTCATAAACTTCGTTTGTGGTTCAGATTTGGATATTCACAAACCTGCTAATATTACAGTTTCGAATCTACATTTAGGTGGCAACTCGTTTAATATTAATAGCAAGGGCCAAATACTATTTTTGCTACTTTTAAATATAGGAAAACCATCTGTATTAAAATTAAAAGTCAAAATTTTACACTCTTGGTTCTGTGTGATATTCTTATATAAAGTACTCTCGTATACATCTGACATATTTGTTTCCTGTAATGTGGTTACGTGTGCTAAGTTATTCATCAAAGTATTTCGCATTTTTTTATTCTCTAATAAGACTCGAATTTGATGTTCGACATCAATAGATATAAAATAGTTCGGAGATTTTGGAGAAATCTCGTACTTTTTTTCACACTGACCACACATGACAGTCTTCTTCTGAGCAACACAATCTTTTGAAAGTGGATTTAATAGTGGGGTGTAACATTCAATACAATAAAAAATATACAACATTTTATCCGCAGGTGGATTGTACAATTTTGACATTGTATACTTCGAAGTATTTATGTAACTAAATTTTGGTCCAGCCAAACTTTTTATTAAATTTAATAGCGCATGTCTAGATTTATCGGAATGATGATAACGCAAACATAATGCTTCGACCATTGTGAAAACTTGACGAATTGATAAATTGGCAGCTTCGAACATAATAATGTTGTCATTTGTGTCATTATTAATATCCGGACTATCAAACGAACCAAAATAATCTTCACAAATGACATCATCATTATCGCTTTGATCACTACAGCTCATATTTTCATAAAATTCCTCAGAATCATTCTCATCGTGTACAATTTCATTTAAACTACTCACATCATTTTCCTCGCAAAATGAAACATCTTTTGATCTTGTAGTTAATGTATTGTGTGGTTCTTTGCCGTGTGCAATTTTGTTAAAATTGTAGATATTTTCATCCTCTGTAGATAAAGCATCAATGGATGAAGTCTGAACTAGATCCGACGATGTCCCAGCTATTTGGTTATCTTGCATTACACTTGCATTGCCTGAATATTATTTTTAATTGTAAATATGACCATGTAAAATGGATTGTAAATGTAATGTAATTTAATTACACACAGATATTCTATGCGTTAAATATAAATACATATCCCTTACAAAAAAGACACATATAGGCAGATATTTTAATCCGTACAGTACGAATAAATATTAACCTTTTTCGGCGCGTTTCATCCATCGTAGAAAAGTTCGACGATTACATTTTGTTGTTACTGTGTCTCTTGGTTCTAAAAATTTCTTGTACGTCTTTCTTTCTTGAGAATGACTCATTTTGTAACTACAGTCAATTTGCTGATTGAATGAAAGTAATTTTTGGAGTATGTTACGTATTCAATGTGGATTAAGATAAATGATGGTGTCTGTCTGTAAATAAAATAAAAATCGAATTATTTTCGGGAATCAATTCCCTAACGGAACATGTAGATTCTGAGAATGTTCGGAGAATATCATAAACGTATATTGATAATATTCTCAGAAAATATTCGAAATACGTCATATAATATACTGAGAATATACTCAGTAAATTCCT